ATTTGGTTGACAAATTTTTATTTCATTTCGCAATTCTTTGGGAAAGTAGCTTTCCGGCTAGTCTTACAGTGATCCTTAGCTAGAAGTATTGTAGATAGTAGTGAAGTGTTAGTATATGATAGATATATTAAATAACAAACAATTGTTAGCTTATATACAATAAAATAATTAACTTGACTTTATTATTAGAATGAGTGATATTTGACGTAACAATTATTGGCAAAGCGCTTGATGTTCAACAAGCGATTAGGACAAACATTGTAGAGATCGACGACTTGACTGCGTGAGCAAATTCGAGGCAATCAGCTGACGTTTGTGACACTCCGACAAAATTTTATGACCCCATGCTTATGAACGAAAACAAATTGAATTAGCAAATAAGAGCGATTCGGTGAGTGTCCAAAATTGACGGGAAAAGGCTGATTGTAGTCTTATTTCTATGCCTAAGTAGGCTTTACATATTTATCGAAGTAATCTCGATAACAACGTCTGCCAACGGGCCAGAGAAGTTTGTCATACTATACAATAATAATGACGGTGCGGTTTGCTGAAGACGTGCTTTGACGGCTCGAGTTACTATTTGTTCTCGACAGATCTGTTTGTTTTACGATCGAGTTTCGTCCGCTTAGACGTATTATTAGTTTAAGTGTGAGCATACAATCTACGGATAAAAATATCAAACATTAAAGAAATCGGTATTGAAATTATTGTCAAAGAGTTTAGTGGAAAAAAGTATGTGAGTTATTGATAAAAACGACTCGATTTAAAAAGTTATTTGTGTGCAATAGAAAATCATTGTAGGGGCCGCGTTGCACAACAGTTTTAATTATAACAAAATAAACTATTGTAATAAATGAATAATATGAATTAGACACTGTCAATGAGCTATCATTGCAGACATGTCGGACTATCGGCTATTCTTGTTTAATTGCTGTTTCATTTGAAGATTATTTGAAAGCTTAATGAAACAGACGATTTAAAACATTGATTCAATGATAAGGCTTACACTGAGTTGATCTCATAAAAGAGTTTTAATCTCTTTTTAATGATAATTACGTTTTTAGAGAGTATCGTTAATTTAAAACTTAAAGCTTACGATGTTTATCTTGCTAACATCTATGAATAGTATAGTTTTGTGTTAACGTAAATATGTTCATTTTAATTTAACCTTTCGTAATTAGATTGTACTTCAGATGTTAAAGAGATTGGTTAAATTGAAAATATTTGTATTACATTACTACCTTTTGCTCGCGACTTCGTGCGCATGAAGTTAAAAAATACAGTAAAAACTCAGAGATAACGTAGCTTTTTAACGGTGCAAAAATTTTTGACGCAGGTCCAGTAGTTTTTGAGTTATTCCAATAGAAAAAAAAATCTAAAATTCCATAAAATTAGTATAGATTACTTTTATTAATGTATAATGTTTTAACAATTATTGGATATTGAAAATGCCAGCACATTGGTATCGATTTTTTAATTAAAAATTGCGTCAAGGCCATAAGTGCAATGTTTATGTATGACGAGTTAATTAACTACAAGTGTCACGTTATCACGCGGCATCACGCGCTCCGCTATCACGGTGTCCCGCCACCAAAGTGCCGGTCACGCTCCGCCGTCGATCATTGTAATTCCTTTGAGTCGACAGCGCTTGTCCATGTCCTGCGTTGCCAAACAAAACAGCTCTATTCCTTTTGTCACCATCAAATTTTAACGAGAACCTAAAACAAAAAAAAAAAATAATAATTGAGAAAAATCCTCTTTACCTAGATGTTATTTACTAATTTATTCTGTTTTTCTTTTCTTTATTATTTTACGAGGGTGTTATTAATTTTCATTAACTATACACAGCACTTTAGTCAATTAGACTTTATTAGTATAAGAAATTAGACATGCTCATGTGTTTAATGTACAGGTAGGAATACCGCGGCCCGTAGCGGAACACACTCAATGCAATGACAGCGCGCCGACAAAGCGGCCGACAGCGCAGCTCCGATCACTTCTAATTGTGTGATTTGATACGAAAACGCTTTGTTAACCGCGAAGAAATCTCTATCGCATCATAATCGATACGATAGATACAACAAATTTATCTTTTGTCCGCCTCGCTCGTTCGTTTCACGACTTTTAGGAGACTGTAGGGATGTACCACGCCACCGCGACCGACGATTAACAACGGACATAACATGAAATTTAAAAAGTTATTTTCATTATGATTTAAGAATAACTAGTGGTAACTTGGGTATTGCCTGTTATTTACACTTAAATAATACGATCTTACTTCAATAATTATTTACTAGAAGATTCTTAGACTTAAAATATCCAGTTGTATTAAAATGGAGAAGTCTCGACCGTCTCTATCATAATTTAATAGAACGGAACAAAACGGTGCTTTCTAGTTTCGATAGATTTGCCTTTTTGTGTTATAATTCAGAATCGTCTGTGACTCCGCGGTCCTGATCTTATTTGACGATAAACATAAATTGCTTTCTCGTTACTCGGAAGTTTTAGGAAATATTCATATCTTAACTGATCTGGGTTTATAATTTTAATGAGATGAAGAGGTAAAGAACTGTATAGAGTGACCACCACCCACAGTTCATCAACAACGGAGCTGCATACGTAACTTTGTTACATGTTTATTTAAATCTTACAAATGCTGAAAATGTTTGTGAGAGTTTGTTGCCTAAACTGCTGTACAGATCTCGATGAAATTGGCCATAGATGTAAAGCATAGTCTGGGTGAACACATAAGCTACTTAACTTATATTTTTTAATTCGCGAACGAAAGATATTAATGCATTAATTGTCGTTGATTTAAAGCAACGACTTCACAATTCAGAAGCTACCGCTTTATCAAATAATCGATATAGAGTTTATTTTAGCTGTCATAAGGTTGGATGTTTATTTTTGACACGAAACAAAGTTCTTTCAGCCACTGATCTGTTAATGGTAGGTAAAACTAGACATGATTTACTACAGATTGAAGTTCAAAATCAGTGCGGAGACTCGGGAATCGAATCGCGGAAGGTTTTATGGCGGTTTTACGAGGAGCTCCCGGCGCCCGGCGCTTCGCCAGGAATTAATTAAATGTGCAGTTCCAATGCAGAATGAACGTAACTTTAATTAGTGACATGTTTTTTATGTATGAGTTATTGCTTATTGGACCGCTGACTTGACTCCTGTATTTTTATGACATGTCTGAGGCTGTTTGTTTTTATAATATTTTGACATAGAATACAGGTTGAAATTGGACTTGAAGTAGATCATTTAGCTACTGTTTTTCTGTTAAACATTCATTGAATACCGCATTTTGTTAGCACAAATAATTAACAATTCACAAGTCCGACGAAAGTCGGTTTCAAAAAACTTGTATTCCTTGATTGCCAACAGGGATGTCTTTAATGAACATAATCTAATATTAAAAAAGTTAAATCTAGTAAAAGTTTTTAATGACTAGGTACCTGTACCTGAAGCCGGGCTAAGGTTGAAGGGAGGTATTTACGAGTTGTTTGCTAGAAGATTTATGGTGGTGTTGCGTGACAGTCGCCGATAACTGCTGGGGGAAGGGGAGGGGAGCTGTGGTGCACTGGCGAAACAAATCGACCGGGATTACGTTATTAAATACTTGATTATTATTTTTACGGACATTCGCGAATTAAATTTTCTGTGCTGTTCGGTCCTCGGCGTTTTAGTCATCATAATCTTTATAAAGAAGAACTCAGAGGTACCATTCTTAAGACCTTCTAGATTTTAATAAGAAGAATTTTCATAAAACATTATTTCTGTTACAAATACTGAAACGACATTTAAGCATGGAACAGCGTCATAGATGTTGACGTCTTATTGTAAGCGGCGTTTACGAAGTGTTTTAGAATCGGTTCAGTAGTCTGCCGTATATAATGTTGATCAGTCTAGATTCCCAAAGCTAGTCAGCCATGGCCACGGCCGCGGGATGTCCACTATTAGGATAATAATTGTCAGAATTCGCGTGAGCCAAATTAACGCTAACTGTAAACGACAGCTTTATTGTTGTCTCAGCAACTTTATTTGTTTTATAAGGATCTTGAACTTTCTCGTTTACGATGAATCATTCATAAACCCATATGGGGTCGCATTTAATTAATTTGAAATGTTTTAGTTATTTCTTGATACAAGTGAGACACATTCTCACTAAGGCATCAGTTTATTTATTGATGCATAGTTGTATTTAAATTTTGTTTTGTCTATTTGTCCGATTATTTTACGAGCTAAAGATTATCGAAAATCTTTAGTATTTTTAATACGTTCATTGATTAAATTAATTTTTACGACTTTTTAATAACTTTAAAACAAAAATTTATTTTAAATTCTTCAGCGAAGTCAGAAATAAATGCAACGTGTTTGGTGCTTCTAAAAATTTTACGACCGATTTATCCCCTAAATGTCCGATAGCACCGTTAATGCTTGAGTTTTATTGTTTTTTTATCTATATTTGGTTTGATAATAAACATAAAAGTTTTCTAAATATTTGTTAATAGGATAAGCAACACAATGAATTGGGCTTCTGATTTCTCAAAGATGCTGTCAAATTAGTATACTCGATGTCTCCCGCGACTTTGTGCGGAATAACCATAAGATTTAGTAAGTAGCCTATGTGTTCTCTCAGACCCAGACTATGTGTTACATCGCTGGCAAATTCCATCAACATCCGTCTAACCGCTCTCTAGATACCTTCTAATAAACAATAAACATTCACATCTTACTTCTTACTAATATTATAAATGCGAAAGTTTAGATGGATGGATGGATGTTTGTTAGAGTTTGTAGCCTAAACGGCTGAACCGATCTCAATGAAATTTGGCATAGATGTAGAGGATGGTCTGAAAAGACACATAGGCCACTTATTTTTGCTTTTTTAATTCCACGCGAACGGAGTGGCTGGGGAAAGCTAGTTTATAATACAAGTAAGACTTACATAATATATCTATTGCTCATGTTTTGTTAATTTTTATTTCTTCCAGATCTGGATGCTGTGAAATTGAAGATGATATAGACCGGTGTAAAACGTAAGTTCTTTTAAAAAATTTGTTTTTATATACGTGTTGATACTAGGTGTTAGTGTATGTTGTGAACAGACGGACATTCGACATTTACCACTAATGATGATGCGTGGTGCTATTTCCAGGTCCGTTAAGGTTTCCTAGAACACTATAAATATTTGCCGCGTCTTCGCGCGACGAGAGACGCGCTCTTTCTATTCGGGCGAGACAGATTGTGTTGAAAAACGAAAAACTACATTTAACTATTTCCATACACCTAATAGTTAAAATAACTTCTTTTTTCTCACAAAATCAGAACATTACATAGATTATAATCAAACATAAAATAGCTTTCTCACCAAAAGAAATATCGCACCTTTTGGGTATTTTAACATAGTTTATAAACGTTCATTGTTGAATGTAAAATATTCACATTGTCTATTGTCAATTAAACCACCAGTAATGCAGGTAAGTCCTGCAGACGTGTGTAATAGCGCTGTCAGAGTCGTGGCTGAGGCTAATTGCTACGCGACTTGTGCGACATCTAGCGGCCGCTCAACTATTCATGCCACATGTCCATACACGTCTCATCTCCGAGTATTTCAATCCGACAATACAATGTTAACGTTTCACTGTGGATCTCAGGGTTGTCCTGCGACATTGTCGCCTTAATCAGATGTAGTTTACAACAAGTTATCGTAAAATATGTTAAGTTAATAGCCAACATTAAGCACTAATCCTAACATACCAGCAATAATCAAATCAAAAGTAAGTTTTGATTCAAAAGATTTAATTTCTAGAAATTTTCTGATCAGATATATGAATTGATAAAATGGTTTGATCTGTTTAAAATTCAATATCAATATCATATGGGTAAATAGATTTGAATAGTATAGTATCTGTCTGCTAAATACTAAAGCGTCCATCACTTAAGACGCAGGACATAAGCGCTGCCCGACGCTCAGCTAATTCTATAATAGCACCGAGTGACGGCGAACAGCACTGCTGAATTATTGAAGAGGTTTGTCCCTCAAACGACAGCCTCGCTTGTAGCTTGCAGCACAGCTTGTAGCTTGTAGCCTGTCGTAGGCTAAGTCTAATGCATTCGCTCTGAGATTGTCTTTGAGCTAAGAATACTTGAAAAATTAATATCTGGTCTTCTAGTCTTATCTTAATTAAAATTGACATTTTAGACTGTGAATATTTAGTTATCTATTGCACGGCAATATTGATGAAGTTAGGACTGTATTGGCTTTAGTTGTTTGTTTTTAAATAAGGATTACAATGTCTGCAATATTATATATAATAGTAATAATAAATCTGTAATGTAAAAACATTAATCAATGTGTCAAGCCTCGATACGATGGTTAGAGCATATCATGGTTATTTCCTTATCACGCAGAATTCTTGAACTTTATAAAATGTTAGAATTGCAAGTTGCGACAATGTACCGCAGTGAGGCGCAGGCTGAGGGCGCGCCGTTTCTGGCTATTTGTATCGTTGCCTCCTTTGATTTACCGCCAGCGCTAACCGTCCCGTATAAAAGTCAACAATTACACGGTCGCAGTACCGTATTAGACATTAATTCAGAGACGGGAATCGAGAAACGACGTCGTCTTTTGATTCATGCGTGCGCTCAACTCTCGCGCCTCCGACGTAACGGACCGTTTGCTTTCATTTGAAAAGCAACCGAGTGTTGTTAACGATAGATATGTAAATCGATTGATAGTTGGCTCTCTGGATATGAGTAATAGCAGAACCGATTGTCTTTGGTGAGGAGATTAAATTGATTTATGTGACAGTGTTTCGTCCGTCAGTGGGTTCTGGGTAATCGTAAAGTTCGCGCGGGTCGCAGTCGCCGTCGCCAGTCGCCTTCTCGTCAGCTTTATGTGGCTTGCCTTTTGATGCGACGCTAAATCTAAGCTGATTTATCGTCGCGAATTAGCATCGCGTTATTTCCTGCTTCGTGTCATGTCACATGTCATTTTTGTAATTCACTCTGATGATATACGCTGTGACAAGCTTTGCCTGGTGAAGATTTTATTGATATTTTGATTATTAATGTCGTTATTGTGGATGCCAGTATTCAACGGTTGTAATTTAATGATGACGGATGGCTTCTTGTCTTTATTACCGTAGAGATTCTAGATTATTTTCCCAACTTAACGTGCTGCGTGGGCGGTGAGGTCGAATGAAGGTTTAGATGTCAAGCGACATGACGCAGAGGCGCGGACTGTTATTGCATCACTATTACATTAAAGCGATCGATGTGATAGATTAGCAAGTGATTCACCTTAATAATGTCACAAAAATAATTCCATTCATCATACAGATTTCGACTTTATCAAATTAAATGGTACAGGTCAGAACAGTTCCTACGGTTGAAGTCAATTTATTTAAGCAATGTATAGCGATTGGCATCCGAGTACTAACAGTGTATGTCTGCCTGTCACCGGAGCCCGGACCGACTGAGGCATCTCGTTCTCGTCTCGCAAATATAACCTGTCAATCTGTTTGTCCCAATTAATATGCAGTCTCTCTCGTTCAGCCCAGATTTAGAACTATCGATTTGTCAATATTTAAATTCGAACTTGTAACCGTTTCTGTACAATATGTCCTTGGGTTGTTTTTTAATTAGTAATAAAAATAAATTGTCAGGAGTAAATATCAATACTTTTCAAACGTTTATTTGACCAATAATAAATTGACGAGAGTGGTTTGGGAATTTCAATAGAGCTGGCTCAAAAGGAATCGCTCGCGTCTTGGCGGCGGCAATCAAAGATCACAAAGAGAACGTTAATCGTCGTCCGGGTGTAGGCAGATCTAATATTGTCCGCTTTGTCCGCATTGTCGTGGCACGATCTCATTATCCAAGTCCGGACCGATTATCACTCAAGTGACCTTTTTCAATCATTTTTAATATGTTTATTTCTAAAATAAATTATTCAAGCATAGGACGCATTATTTGATATAGTATTAACGACGCGACGAATTAATATTGATATTGTACTTTTATGACAATAGATGGCGGTAGTAGTCACTAAATATGAAATAGTTACCAACATGCATTTTTTTTCGTCATATAAACCGACAAGCTAATGTTTGAATCAAGAAGTTATAACACGAAACAAATGTAGTTTGTCAGTGCGGTTTTAATTATAATTTTAGATTTGTTTTCTTGTGTAAGTGGCGTGAAACATGCTTCAGCAGTTTATAGGAAGCAATGAAAAAGGTTTTCTTGTAGTGTTAAACAAAGTAAACATAAGGAAACAATATTTAACGCTCATTTTTATATTACTTAGGTACCTGTTAAATTCTTGTTTGAATATTTAAGTCACCGGAACCAATCTGCAGATGTCTACTAAGTTTTGTTGAATAAACAATATAACGTTTATGTTACGATATCACGCATGTATCTATTACAGTTTTACTTAGCTAATCAATAGATGGCGGTTACTGCCGGTCGTCGCGTGCGCAACAACCATCCGCGTAACCTTTAACATAAGCACTTAGCATTAACTTAATTATATTTTTATCATTACATAATTGTTTGTGTCGACCACTGTATACTTGCCGCTCGGAAAACTGACGACATTTGACGTAGGCAATAGGCAAGTCACTGTCATGGCTTACATTTTATAAATACTTTCGTATTTTGATCTAGAGTGTGAATACTACTTAATTATATATATTTATTTAGGCAGCATTCTGAATTCCGAATTGTTCATCGATGTTACAGATTATAATGTTACAAATTCAACACTCGTCCTTCGAGTTGTTACGCTTAATGATCCCTAACTGCGGCGCAATCGACTTCATTAAAAAACATCGCGACCAATACAGTATCTCAGCGCAATTATAATCGAGGTGCGGGACCTCACGCGCGCTTTAATTAACAGCTGTTGATTTTTAAAAAGGTTGAAAAGGGACAAAAAATAAATATATAAATACGAAGCACTAAGATGCAATTCAGGGGAGCGATAACGCGCCTTGATAGCGTCTGTGCGGCTCAGCCCTAATGAAGCTATGCAAATTGCACGCGCCCACGCAGGCCGGCGCGTTTGTGCCTCCTGCGTGTTCGCCCCCCGATCCCTCCCCCGCACAAAGCAACACTCAAAGCCCGCACAGAGTTGTCGGGAGCGCACAGTAATCGATGCGCAGAAATTCCCAATCGATTCGTGTCTACTTCATTTAATCGAGTTTAATTGACTATCGATTCTTTATCACTCGCTCGGAAGTCGAACTGCCCGCTTATCGTATTTCGGCTTGTTTATGAAATATTTATTGGCGTTCGCAATTAGTGGACATTATCGCCTTATTCTATTGGTGTTTAACACATTTGAATAATTGCCATTTGTGACACGCAAGGGTTACTTTTTACACATTCAAAGTTATCATTAATTAAAGATATTTTATAGAAATACGACACGAAACGACATGTTTATTTACTTTTAAAAGTGACAATGATGCTCAGATAGGAACGACTTTTTTATTCTTAGGAAATTGATTGTTTTTACATCAAGTGGTTTTTGAATTTAACCAATAGATACGTTGCTTGCACAAAGTTTGAGGTTATTTTAATTGTAGAGAGGAATATTGGTTCAGCCGTCTAATTTTGAGATGGATATTTTTATCAGCACCTGTCATTTACATGTAGTGAGAAGATGTGGCGATAGGGGGCGTACGCGGCGACGTGACGTCAGCAACTGCAGCAGCCGGCAGGTACCGCCGATGTTATCACAACTGATAACGACAGATTTCAAATGCTATTTCATATATTTCGATAGCAGACGATTCGGCCAGACGCAGGTCAAATGGAACATTTCTATGATTCTATCGTGTACCTATCAAATTTGTAAATTGTCAAAGCTTCCCCAAATATTATTACTACTCTTTACTCCGAATAACAGAATGGTATCTAGATAATTTATTACAGTTATTTGCTGTGTTAATTAAATGCTTTTTAAAGGTAAACACAATTGATATTTGCGCTTTGTCGTTAACTGACTAAATTGAAATGAAGTCAC